TCACAGACCCACGTCCGAACCGTTAATCCATATCGGAATGATTACTTGTTTTTTTTAAATGTATTCCTTATAGCTGTATAAACTATCCGCAAGACATTTGAAGTACGTATTGAACCTATAAATCGCACCAAAATTTGTAGTACTTTGGCCCGTATTAACGTAATAATGTTGTTGATTCGAGTTTATATATATAAAATCGGCGGAATTTTTACCGATATTATTATTCTAAATAAGGTTGGAATTTTAAACGTTTCTTGCAATAATTGATAACGATAAGTAAATATCATAGTCACAAACATGTACAACACCAAGGACAATCAAATCGGGATTGTTCCCAGATATTCACTATTATAATAAAATTAAATATATATATATATATATATATCCAAGGATCAGAAAGTAAAAAAATTTTGAAAATAAAGCTTACATATTTGTCTTACTTCGAAACTTGAATCCAAAGAAGCGCTACTGTTATAAAACATAAGAGGTGTAATAGTTTTATTACCAACCAGAACTCTTAAACTTTCAAACATTACTTGTGTATTAATTTGATTTGTTTGATTAGCTGCAACAAGTGTTAAACGTAATAAAATTTGAAATGGTTCTACTGAACCATCATGTTGATATCGTCTTTGCATAGATACTCTTGAAGGATCTACTGATATAGCAGCTGCAATGGAAGAGGTCAGGTCATTATAGAAATTAATTCTTCCATTTTCATTCAATCCATCGAAATAAGTAGAACCATCAATTGTTAGACGGACAGCCACATCAATATTGTCTAATAAAAAAATAAATAAAAAAGTATATAAATAAAAGTGAATATCTTAAAAGAATTATGGATGTCAAGACATTACATTACATACCTGTAAAAGTATTATTAGATGTCCCTGTAAAAAATGACCATGTTCCATTATTTACACCTGGTATTGGTTCACCAAGTCCTCTTAAAATTACAAAACTTGGATCAATTGTAACAAAATAATTCGCTCCTTCTTGATTGAAAGTACTTGATAATAAATTAATTTCTATTGCTTGTCCAGTAATAAAACGGACTTGTGATGAATTGGATGAAAGCGTCTGACGTAAATTATCAGAGCTATTTGTATACTGATATATACTTATATTTGCAATTGATGGAGCAACTTCTTGACGATATGTTATAGTAATAGAAGTTGTTCCCACTGGAATTGACGAGTTTACAGTCGGAGTTATAGATTGAATACTAGGATTCATTAATAAAACATCTAAAATAAAAAAAAAAATAAAAAATAAAAAAAAAGCGGTTATGCACACAGTATGATAGAGAGAAAAGTATTAAATATATATTTATATTACCATTAGGTAGAAGCGAAGGTAAATCGGTAGAATACACTGACCAAGAAGAACTATTTGATGCAGGAGCAACTGCCCAAATTGTACTAGTATTTTCAGAGTAAGAAGTAATCATTCCATTAGATGTAGGTAAACCCCAATCTTGAGCATATACACCATTATCATTAAAGATAGATCCTCTTAAAGTACCATTTTGATTTGGACCTAACATTAAAATTCCACCATTATGTAAAGCATAGGTCATATTATAAGTGATAACATCATTTCCAATAACAAAATTACTAGATAAATCTATAGAATTAATAATTCTTCCTGTAGAAAGAAAAGATATCATTTTCCAAAAATTCGTGCCAGGTGTTAAACTTTGTGGAGTACTTTGACCATGTATAAAACATACATAACCAAGAATACCACCAGGACTATTTTGACAATTACTAATAGAAATTATAGTTTCCGGTGAAGAAGATTGATAAATTATGACAGGAGTTGAAAAATTTTGAGAATCAGGTTTTAAAGTAGTCATATAAATAT